GCTTGATTACCTTCAAGCCTTTAAGACCCCAGACGCTATACTTTTTGATAGCCGGGCACCATCAGCCTTCTTCGCCACACGTCTCTGGTTTTCTAAAGTCAAGCTCAAAACTCACCTGATGCTAAGATCGTGGCTTTCTAGCAAATCCAGAACACTCAAGTCCTTAAAACGTACACACGTATGGAGATAAACAGCCTGTGTGTTGTATCTCAGGCAGGAAACTGGTTACCATGAAAAGCACCTTGTCTGTAGAAAAACAGGTTCCAAACGCCAAACAAACAACATGAGCTTCCAAGCTGTACCCATTTGGAATTTCACAGTCAAGGAATTAATTACGCCACCCAGAGAAAGAATATTCTCCAAGATCTGTACCACAGAAACGTCATAGATATGACAGTTCATAGGCTTATGAACCCATCTCGGTGCTATCACCCTGTCCAAACCGACCTTCTCATCGACAGTCATCGTGAGAGAGTCTAACAAATGACTTGCTGAAAACTAGAGATGCCACGTCTACCGCATTCCAAGCTACTGATCGAATAACGTGATCAGAAAATGCAATCAGGATAGCCTGGTTTGATTTCCCTTAATGAACTCTGGTTCGTTCCCCGTAGTCATCGCTGCCTTTCAATACTGTTTCCACTTATCATTTCAATCACGCAGTCTACAGTCTTTGTCAACATGAAGTTCAACAACCAATAGTTCCTGGATTCCACCTCCTTTCCTTTCTAGTGGAAATGAGGACATTAGCTTCTCGCCAGATCTTTGGTAGCTTTCCATTCACCACAATTTCACAGAGATGACCCCCAGCTGGTCAGCAAAACCAACTGCCTATTCTCTCACTGCCTTGGGATGTGTTCATCTGGGCCAGGAGCCTTGGAAATGGCCCTTTCTAACTTGTTGAGCACACCCATCAGAATGCCTCAGGTTTGTCCCTGCAACCACATCCTGTAGGCTTTGCAGGACATTCAGCAGCTGAACTCACACAGCCCTGTTCTCTCACAGCCCTCTTCACCCACCAGAGTCCTAGGAGGTGGGACCACATGCCTGCTAGAGCAGCGGTTCTCAACCTGTGGGTCACGACCCCTTTGGGGGGCCAAAAGACCCTTTCACAGGGGTCGCCTAAGACCATCAGAAAACACATATTTCCGATGGTGTTAGGAACCGAGACACCGCTCCTCTAATGTCTCCAGGTGGTCCACCCACATGCAGATATGCTGATCTGGCGAGAAAGAAGCTATCTCACCTTCCCACTAACGTTGGCTTTTTACGCGCATACTGTCGCAAAATGTAGCAATGTCATTTCCTGTTGTGATAATTAAGCAATGTAGTTTACCGTTGTGATATTAAGTTTACTGTTGATATTTACTGTTGTGATGCATGTTTGTTACCCATGCTACTCCATGCTTCAAGACAAAATTTTGCTGATTTGTAATTATATATATTTCACAATATGTAATTACATATTATTTTTGTGATTCATTACTATGCTTTCATTATGTTCAATTGTAACAATGAAAATGCATGCTGCATATCAGGTGTATAGGTGACGAT